TTTTTAGACTACTTTTTCGGCATTTTTGGAGGGCAAATGGTTTACTGTCATACTTTGTTCACCCGCCCTATTCAAAACTTTAGACACGTTCAACATTTTATGCTAGGTTTTTTTTTTATTAATATTTGTTCTAAAGCCTTCCTTGGTCAACTCCCACACGTCTTGATATGGCATTGGGACTCCGAATCTGCAATCAAAATAATTGTAACATTTTCTAGAAGATATGAGCACTCAAAGTTCAATTTTTTTTTCGTATTTTTTTGCAACATAAAAAAAAATAAATTGTAAATTGGTTAAGCTGCGACTCAAAAACGTAAGGAAGCACACTTAACCAACTCAGGATAAAAAAAAAACAAAAAATGCACGCAAGCGGTTCAGTGCTAAAGCACGGTATGGATCGGGTAAAACACTGTTTAATATCAGTGAGAGAGATGAGAAAGGCAAATAGTTTAAAATGGCCGTAAAAGATGAATTTATAAGTTCAGAAGTGGTGATAGATTTAATATAATTAAATTAGAATAAGGAAATACAATATATCGGGTTTTTGGCAAATATATATTATTTTGTAAGAAAGAGGGTAACCTTGAAGAGAAATATAAATTAGAAAGATGTAGGCCAGCAAGGACAAAATGGGACAGCTCCACAGCCCGTCTGACCAAGCTTAGAGATCTCGATGCTCCAAATTCTTTCATTAATCGGACACCTATCCACCAGTATCGAGTCATCAGAGTTCCTTGTACAGGTATTCCAGATTGCTTTCATATAGACACGTCTGGGAGCGGTCCAAGGGAGGCACCATCGCTGTGTCCGTCAATTTTTTCATATATGATTTTATTTTAATTTTGGTGGTGAACGAGGTCTCTTTACAGGATTCTGGGTATTTGCCAGCTGCTGTACGTTTTCTTTGACATTATCACCGCTATTGTCTATAAATGAAATAGTTTCGGCGTCCTCTAATGCCGCGTTAAGTGCTTCTACTAAATCCAAGCTGTCTTCATCGTCATTACTAGAGTTACCCATGAGTTCCTCGTCCGTTTCAACATCATTGAACAAATCCAGCAACTGTTCATCGGTCAACTCAGATAATTTAAACCGTCTACGCATTCGACCTGCCATTTCGGTTTGTCTTCAATAAGAAACCATTTAATAAACAGAAACAAACAAAAATTGCATGCAGTTGTAAAATAAGCGGTGTTTGTAAAAGGTCTCGTGGTGTCCCAACAGTGCCTCAAGGCACTTATCACAATTTCACCGCTGAAACGCATTATTTGTATGAAGTTGCATATATGCAACTTGATTTGTATAATATAATAACTTACCTTCATGAACAATCATTTTATTTGGCTGATTTTGAAGTTATTTCACTTTTATTAATTAACACAAACACACTACGCATCACACAGCAATTTTTGCGAGCGAATGCATGATGCATGTAAATAACACGGAAAAAGTCCCGTTTTAAAGCTTCGGAAAGCTTTCAAAGCTTCCCTCATAAGCTCACATTTTTATTGTGAACTGACAAATAGAATTCAAACTATTAAAAAGTGTTTTGCATTTTAGACAATACAAATTAAATAATAATAGCCTTGAGGCACTCTTGGGTATTAGAGGGTTAACGCGGCCTTGGTGAAATATCCGGCTGCGGCTCGTCTACTAGTAGTGTGAAAAGGAAGCTAAATTCGGCACGCCGAAGTTTATATACCCTTGTAGAAATTTAGAATAATATAAAATGGCTATATCTCATTGACTAAATTCTGTTGAAAACTGAAAATAATATAATTTTTTTTGTAAAAATTTTCCGATCATTCCTATGGGAGCTATGATATAGTCGTCCGATCCGGCCCGTTCCGACATATAAACGAATGAGAGTATATAGGAGACACTACAAAGTTTCATTCAGATAGCTTCAAATCTTAAAGACTAGTTTTCGTAGAAACGGACAGACGAACATGGCTAGATCGACTCGGAGGTGTCTGTCCGGTTCGATCGCTGCGACCCGCTCTTGTTAACTGAGCGCAGCTATGCCATCCGTTTCCGAGCAACTTTTTTTCGTCTTAACTAGGGAGCAGCGCGGACAACGCTATTGGTTGAGCCCGATATATGGTGGAAAAAAGGTTCGAAAATTATTCTCTTTCTCCAGCTAGGCTTCCCAACTCCTTCAAATCTAAACGCTGATCGGAATGGGCGCTGACTCCCGCTTTCTTTTTTGGTGCCCTAGCACCAAATATGGCGAATCACGCCACGCCTCGACGCCAAGATGGAGCGCCAACAACAGCAAATAATCTAGACGCCAAACTAAGTGGCAATTATTAGGCAGTTAGGGGCAGCCTAATATGCCTTAATCGAAGCTTACCCGATCTAGATCCAGCGCCGATGAAATATTCAATTTTCTGATACTGTGTTTTTCACTTTTTTTAATTCTTTAGTTTTGTGGGCTTTGATAGCCACCACCTGAACCGTTCTCGTGGACTCTCAGAATTAAACAGCTCTAACCGAGCATGGCTATCGCCGATGGACCCCCTTAGGCCCGACTCGGCTTTCTCTCGGTCCCTTATCCGGAGAAATGACAGTTGCTTATGTTGCCTCTTTTACTTCGAACAAAACGCTCCCCAGCATTCCTATAGCCCAGTCCTAGTTCGGACATCTGCTATGCAGATGGCGCTAGCTACCTGCTTCACACCCAGAGGGCGCTAGGGAAGGCTTCTACAAGCGCTGCAAGATGCACGTGAGAGCAAGGGACTGTTTTATTAATATTTGTGTTCTTTTTTCAAGCCGCTCGAGAAATGTGTTCCGACAGTAATTTTTTTATTTTAAATTACGAAAAGGCCTTTAAAACAGAGCAGACGAACAGCCGTTTTTAAAAAATTGCCTCCCGCGCTCTCACTGCTTTAAAACGTTGTTTTACCCTCTCCATATCGTGCTCAAATCGATATAATCAAAATATTTCGTTTTTCCAGATAGAAAAAATACAAAAAATAATAAATCAGGATGTGCTCGACTATTTGGCTCTCTTTCTCACTTGCAGATCCTGCAATTCCTTTAAAATTTTAGATCCCTCCAAGAAGAATAATGTGCAAAAAAGTGGAATTCTAAAGTTTATAAATTTAAATTGGTAGAGAAAAATACAATATTTTAGGAGTACCTAAGGAGAAATAGTAAAAATATTGTTAAAAAAGCTGTGGGCATCTATATATATTTACCTCTCTTTTTCACTTGCATGTGAGTGGAATTCAGAAGTTGATATTATTAAATTGGTAGAAAGAAATACAATATTTTAGGAGCATCTGAGGAGAAATAGTAAAAAAAATTGTTAAGAAAGCTGCGGGAATCTTAGACAAAACGGAACAGCTTCACAGCTTGCCTTTCCAATCTAGATGCACGTGGCACATGTGATGCCATGAATGCTATTGGAATTCGACTGCCAGCTTTATCGGGGCTGGTCCGATGGGTAATATTGCCACTGACGTTTTTTCCTGCACAGGAAACCGATCCCCCTTACCTATTGGATAATCAAAGTTGCAAGCAGCCGCCAGCATGCACGCCAATCGGAACAAATGTTTGGGTTATTAGATACAGGCTCTAATAGGTAAGGGCAGACCGGTGTTTAGGTAAGGACATGGTGGGGCAAGTGACCATACGTCTGTACTCCTTCGTCATACCAATCGACTCAGCCCAGGATAAAGCTAGCATCGAGATCGTCAATGCGACAAGAGCTATCCCATTTTGTCCTTAATGGCCTACGGCTTTTTTATTAAGTTTATACTATTTATCCTCAGATCCTCCCCTCTTTCTTGCATAAATCCCAAATATTTTAGTTGTCTTTACCAATTTAATTACTTCTGAATTCGCCATAATTTCAAATATCTAAAGAAGGTGCAAATGAGAGCGAATGGCAAATAGTCAGAACAATCTGTTTATTAATTTTTTTATCTTTGTTGCACTCGCTCGGGAAATATTAAAAGTGTGCCGCCAGGAATGTCCTAACGCCATGCCACAATCTTGTTATACCCTTGCAGGGCATTATAATTTTAGTCAGAAGTATGCAACGCAGTGATGGAGACATTTCCGCCCAAATAAAGTATATACATATATTCTTGATCTGGACGAAAAGCCGAGTCGATCTAGCCGTCCGTCTGTCTGTTTCTACGCAAACTAGTCTGTCAGTTTTTAAGCTATCTGAATGACACTTTGCAGTTCGTCTTATATATACTCTCTCGGAACAAGCCGAATCAGACGAATATATAATATAGCTGCCATAGGAACAATCGGAAAATTTTTTCAAGAAACATTATAACTTTTTTAGTTTTCAAACGGATTTTATTACATTTTAGATGTAGCCTTTTATTTTATGTGTAAAATGTTATGAAATCAAACTACTATATCATATATGTAGTTGCCATAGGAACGATCGAGAAATTAATACAATTAAAAATTATAACTTTTTCAGTTTTTAACAGATTTTTATCAAATTTGAGGTATAGCCCTCTTATATTGTTCTACAATTCGATTTTCATTTTATAATAATCGGACGACGGTATCATATAACTGCCATCCAATTGATCGTTAGATATTGAGGAAAATGCAAAACGTGGATATAAAACTGTATATATAGTATGTATAGGTGAATAAAATGAAAGCAGGCATTATTTCATTGGGTTTTATTAATTATATTAGCTACTAGTGATCGTAGTTCTATCTGCAAGGGCATATAAACTTCGACGTGAGGTTAGCTTGCTTTCTTGTTTTTGCTTTTATGTTTTCGAAGAGCCATTCTACACCATTTGCCGTTTACTCTCTCTTTTCACTCTTAAACAGTTTTACCCTGTCCGTAACGTACATTTGTCAAAACTGCATTAGTATCATAAGGCCGTTAACACATTCATTATTGTTTTGTTACAGGTAGTTAAGAAAAGCTTTTAACGTTTAAATACATTAATAACTGGGCTTTCCTTATTTAATAATTATTTTTAAATTAAAAAATTTTTGTTTCCAATTTATAGACCGTTCATATAGAAGTTGGATCCCAAAAAAAGCATCGAAGAAAAAGAAGTGTGTTTTTGGATTGTACAGAAAATGATCACGATATGCGTTGCTGTCGTTATCCGCTCAAAGTTAATTTTACCAGCTTCGGATGGCACTTTGTGGTTGCGCCAACTTCATTCGATGCATTTTTCTGCAGTGGCGACTGTAAAGTTGGTTACTTAGAACAATATCCGCACACGCATTTAGCAGCATTAACTACTTCCGCCACACCGTGTTGCTCGCCAACAAAGATGAGTTCCTTAAGTTTATTATATTTTGATGACAATCATAATCTAGTTTTAAGTGTTATACCAAATATGTCTGTCGAAGGTTGCAGCTGTTCCTAAAAAATGAAAGTTGAATGTTTTTTGGAGATCAATTATTAAAATAATAAGATATTTAACTGTATACAAATATTTAATGTAAATAAGAAATCTATAAAAGGAAAATGTATTTATTCTTCAGATAAAATAAAGTAGGTTTAGTTAAATTAGACCATTAAGTTTAAATCGCCACTTAAAGCTTTGCTTGTGCCACTGTAAATATTTCAACAAAAAATAAGAAAATTAATAATAAAATAAAAAAAATAAAACAAACAGACAATCAATTTTAAGCCGAAAATGTTTGTGGAAATCGTTTCGCCTGTCTGGCAACCTTAATAACAAAAACAATATTTTTTGTTTACCAAATCTAAAGTGGGCCAGAAAAAATTAATTTATCAAGTAACTACTTGAGTAAAATAAACTTCAAATAAACTATTTTGTCCCCTTTGCATATAAGATCTGATAAAATGTAGAAAAGGTGTTGTAATGGGACATGTGGGATGACTACAAAGCTAAAAGAATTTTTCTAATTGTCCTAAATTAATTTTTGGCAAGAATTATCTAAGACGGAAACCGATATCGATTAACAGTCGAATTGTTAACACTGGTGATGGCGTTGCCAGGCTAAGCTCAGATACGAATGTCCAGATCTAAAAAGATATCGATGCCAAGCTCAGAAGAGTTGCCAGATCGATAATTAATATCGATAGTTTTATATTTGTCATCAGCAAGTGCCCCGTGTGATCGCCTCTAAGACAGGTATTCTAGCTTACGATACGCCCTCGTTTTTCGAAGTGAAAGTTTGTGTGCGTACAATTTTCTTTCTAACATTAACCCTTATGCAACATTACATTTTTTTTAACTATTAAAAAATATATATAATATACTAATATATATATACTTTAGGATTAAGCATTTAAACAAAAGACTCGCCACGCAAAAACAAAAACAACGGTTCATTTCCAACTCAAAATTGTTAAAAAATAAATTATAAAAAAACTGTTCTACTTGTTTTATTATTACATCATCTATAAGCCAATCAACACATTCTATTGTTCTCCCGCTCGCACTTACTAGGTAGAGCCACCCTCACTCGCATTCATTGTTATGATTGAAGAGGTACCAGATTTTTCCGACGGAACTACCTTTTGTATCATGATCTAGCTCTGGTTCCGGTGGCCATCCTTTTCTCACCAAGCGGCAGTTGATACACACTTATGATCCCAAATAGCGAAAAAGTGGAAAATAAGGTAAAAACACGCGAAATAAATAAATAAATTATAAATTAAATCCGAAGAGATAGCGGATCAAGATTTTCTTTATGCTGCGCGCATACGAAGCTTTGTATGGGTTAATAGCTTCCCTGCCTGTGACTCGTGGTTCTGTTGATGTCTCCTGAATTTGTTTTTTGTCGAAAATGCGAGGTTCTACACCTGGCCTGTGAGCCATATCTAACTTAACCTCATTTTGTTAAGTTTGCCTTCGCTTTGCAAGATCGAGCTGCGCCTCGTTTTATTTTTTGTTTCGGACATAACCTAAAACATGTGAGAACAGAACTTAAGGGGTTACATACAGTTAGAATTTTAAAAAAATCTTTATTTTTTATTTTATTTTCTTAATGTAAATATATTTAAGAATATACACAGAAAGCTTTATTTAGTTCCTGTGAATATTTCCTAAGTTATAAGTAAAATTGAAAAGGCGTTTCAGAGTGCTCTATGTAAAGTGCTCCCATGTAAAGTGAATTACAACCTTTAAACGTGTTTTTCTCAAAATGGTGTTTTCAAAGTCGGTGACCAATTTCTCGAAAACGGCTAGCCCGGTTAATCTCAAACACGACCTTCTTAAATATATTTTTTAAATTAATCAAAAATTTTATCTCTCTAAAATTTTCGGCGAAAAATCAATTTTTTTGCGAAACTGCCATGTTGTCAAAAAATTATTTTGCTTATTCCTTCGATTAATTACTAGATTTGACATTACTCTAACGAAATCAGTTTGGTTTTTTAATTTCGGTTGATCCAGTTCTAACATATAGTGGTCACCGCAAAACTTCTTTTTAATACGCTTTTATTAGTTCGGGATGTATATATGTATGTATGTAACGGAATCTTTGAACACTATTTTCAAGGGTTTCCAAATATCTGATAAACTTGAAACTTCGCATACTTCTCACAGACCGATGACAATGCAATAATTTGATACAAATTTTTCATTATCCGGATGAGGATCGTCAGGATCGAAATTTTTTTTTTATAGAGCGTCCGTAAAGGAGTAAGAGAGACAGAGCTAGCGCGCGATCTGCGCATGCCTGCTAAATAAGCTTATGAAGCACTTAGTCGTGTAAGAACCTTAGACGGTATTTGCATTGAAGAACTTGATTGCTCAAAGTTAACAGGAAAAACCCCACGCAACAAAGAGGCCTTAAATGAAATAATGAGATTACGAAATAGTTCGTAAGATATTTCATAATTACATGTCCTCAAAAATTGATTATTGATCAATCGAACTAAAATTCGAAAAATAACTGATAGCTAAAAAATATAAAATAAATAATAGTTAAAAAAAAAAAAACAAAAAAAACACGCTTTTATAAATAACCGAACTAAAAAGAAGAAAATAATTTATAATTACAAACAAAACTATTAAATTCAGAGCAATAGTATATAATTATAAACAAGATCGCTAAATTCAGAGTTAAAACCGTGGGGTGTAGGATTTTTCTATAATTTCATAATTCTCCCCTTACACATAATTGCCCTTAGAATAATTGTATCATTGATTATAGATGCACTCCACGTTTTAACTCTAGTGATTGTAGCGATGATTTGTTATTATTATAAATTATTTTCTTCTTTTTAGTTCGGTTATTTATAAAAGCGTGTTTTTTTTAGTTTTTTAAACTATTATTTATTTAAGAGGAGCTTCCGGAGATCAACTGTAACTGTTTTCCAAATAAATATTTTTGATAGTTCTAAGTCTTAAAATACAGTTATAAGATACTATATAATGTGTGAACATTTTTGGATCAATAAGTTAAAAAGTTTCTTTAGAAAGCACTCTGAAAAATTTTTTTTTTTCCTTAACTAAAAGAAATTGAAACAGAGATGGAAGAAATTAATTAATTGAAAGTTAAGTTCGATTGGAACGCAGTACTTGTAGTATATTTATTTGTATTAAAGATTGGGTGTAATGATTGTCTAGTTCAATTTGTATAATAATTTATGTATCTTTCAAAAATAAGTATTAAGTATAATAAGTAATATGTGTAACTCCAAATCTCGCAGTTTAATTAAAGGCCTATCCGTCATATCTATCTATCTTTCTATCTAAAAACTACCTACTACTACACTATAATTATGAAATATTTAGAAGCTAAGAATATTTAGAAAAAAAAAAGACAGATAAAGGACTCTACTGATGTTTCTGTTGTCGTAGGGTGTTAAAGGGGTCACCAGGAACATTCTCTTAGGAAGGTGATCATGGCAGGGAGGGCTAGATGCGACCACAATACCACCTGTGACTTCGCTTTCTTTCTGACTTCCTCACCGTCTTTATAATACTACTTCCTTCTCAAATTAATTTATTCTCATTTCTGGTTTCGTTAAAATGGTATCTCTTGTCTTGTCTTTAATTATATAAGGTGTACTTAGTGTTAGGAATGTGTTTGCGCAAGACCACCACCCCCGAAGCCTACGAGCGAGAGGCGGATATTACGACGAGCACCTCAAACACAGATTCATAAGGATGAAAGACTATTCCAGTCGTTATACGCTACAACGTTTACTTTTATATTCAAAAATATCACTTTTTCTTATTTAAAAACAAAACTCAATTAAAAACCGGAGCTAAACGTCAAAAAAAAGTACACCTGATTTTGTTTAATAGATCTTCCCACAGAGATTTATTTATCCGTTGAACGTCCTGCCGGATTTGTCATTTTGAGAATTTTTCACTTTTTTTCATCCAAATTTAAGGGAAATATTATTCCGATAGTTATGCGATGGTTTTTCACCGCACCATTGAATTCTATTTATTCCAAAACTTTTTAATGATGTACAATAGTCAAATAAATTTTAAACATATATTTTAGCCCATCAAAATCCATTTGAAGGGGTATAGCGCTTCTTTCAGCTCTGTATTAATTAAAATTCTGTCAAAAACGGTCTTACACGGAACTGTATAATACATCTTTCACGAAAGAAATTTGTAATTTGCCTATTTTTAAACTGTCAAGCCTTACACCGTCACGGTGGCGTGGTTGACGGTGAATTGTGTGCAATGAAGTTCCAGCATCTTCCCCAAAACCATTTTAGTTGTATTCGGTTGAATGCTGCATCGAAATTCCCCTTAATACAAATTTAAGTCTTGGTCACACTAAAGGCAGGATCGGGGAAAAAATATGTATGCATACAATCCAAGGAAAATATATGCAATATGAGTTTTGTTACTAAATAAAGCAATAAATATGAGTAATTTCATTGTCGACGTGGAATATGAATATGTTGTGTTAAAAGTGAGCATTAATGAAAAATGCGTATTCTTTAAATATTGATGAATTTGTATTTCAGATAAATAACGTTGATATTAGTCACTTGCCAAGGTATGAAGCGGTTCAAAAGTTCCTTCAGGCTAAAGAAAATTTAGTTGTTGAATTGAGCAGGCAAAAGCATAATCATAATGCCCTAGCTTTAGAACTTGACTGCATATCTTCAGACGTTGCAAAAAAACAATACAAAGAAGAAGCTAATTCTAATATAATTGAAATAAAACCCGAATCCTCAGCATCGATAGAATCAGAAAATTCTGGTGGCTGCCAGCAAGTCAATTCAGTTACGCCAATAATATTTCCTGCAGAACCATTAAACAATCCCGTAATTTTAACTCTAAGAACCTTTAATAACGAAAAAAAAACATCGAAGGAAGTTCAAACCCAAACCGTATTTAACCCAGATATTCTACAAGATCACGATCTGGTACAGACAATAACTGATCACTTTATTGAGCAAGAACATCACATATTTGAACAATGTCTGGAGCCGGAAATTGATATTGAGGTAAAATGGGAAAACTTTTAATTTACATAGTTCCAATTTTAATGAATATATACTTATTACTTAATAAATTATCCTAAAATCCGACAGGAAATAACACTCACTAAAGCTGTTGTTAACGGTAATACCAATGATATCGGCATATATATTTGCTCATCCGACTACCAGCCTTCAAATATCGATTCGACGATCAAAGGAGATCAGATAATATGCAATGATACCAGAGGGAGCTGCGAAAATGTATTCATCAGTGGCATTGAACCAAAAAGTATAGCGCAGAACGATGGACGTCTACGGCAGGGGGATCAGATTCTTCGCATTAATGGTATGGACGTGAAGAATAAGGAAGAGGCAGTGCTGAAGATATCGGAAAGTAACACTGCTGTGACGCTTCTCGTTAGTCGAATTCTCTACCCAGTAAGCATAAAGATTTTAATATTTCCCTTATGTTTTACTACGTTAATATATATATCTAAATATATATACATAAAATGTGCGTTAATTTAAGGTATTCTTACATCAGTTGAGAAAGGCTTAACCGATTTGGATGCATTTCTTTTTTAAATTGCCAGCAAAGGTTTTTGTGTCTAAAAATGTTGGATATTTTCTCCTGAAATATCCTTAGGGCCTCAACATATGTTGAAAACGTACTGTTAACGCTTACAATAGTATTAGAGAGTTAATGATCAATGTGAGCTTTGTGAGAATCGGTTTTTTTAATACCTGCTATTAGCCCATCAACCATTAAACGGTGTACTCTACTGTGCTCTCTTTGTGCAAATAGTTTTAGGCGATAAAATATTGGACGGCATACACGTGCTGCATATCGGCAATATATGAATATTCGTAATATTCAAACACAAAAATAATGTGATTAACAAAATGCATTGAGAAACGCTACTTCATAATAGACAAAATTTTAATAGAGGAAGACAACCAGTAAATTTAGACTTGCAATTAATTACGATTCTACAATCGCCTATAAAGATTTCAGATTGTTAAAAACCGCATTAGATGTACTGCACTTCGACGACCACAAAATCATTACCAGAGCAGACAAAAGAACCGCTGGAAGCCATGCAAGATAATTCAATCAATGAAGTGGCGATTGTACTTATTGGCGAAAATGTGGCATTACGGGATATTATTTTCAAACGTCGGGACCATGAACGCATGAAGCGCGTATACGAGACTGATCGATCATATGATTCTGCCGTGGAGAAGATCGCTGTCACATTAATATAAATATTTCAGGAGAAGAAACGAATAAGGTCAGCTAAATGAATTTGTATGCTTATAGATTGATGATGAGCTTTAACATAGCCCAAGAAAAGTAGTTCAAATGCGTTAAATCGCACGATATAGGCAGCTAATTGAATGTTCCCGAACGTGAAATAAAATGTTTACCAAACGACTCTTAATAAGTCCATTGTTGCGCGTGCTGTGCGGCAAGTGACACCGTCTTGTTGAAATCATATGTCAATCAAGTGAAGCTCTTGCGTTTTGGGAAACAGAAAAAAATGATATCATCTCACAGCGCAGCGCTCACCATTAATAGTTACGTTACGATTCGCAGCATCTTAAAAGAAGAACGGTCCAAAAATGCCCCCAGACCATAAACCGCACCAAACTTTGATTTTTTCTGGGTGTATTGGTAGTCATTGTAATGCTTCTGGCTGACAATCAACAATTCAGCTTTTTTACGTACCCATAGAGCCAAAAATGAGCTTCGTAGTTGAATACGGATTTTCGATAAAAAAGTTGATCAGCGTTGCGGTAGGTCGTTTGGCTTCAATTCTTGCACAAGCAGTATTTTGAAAGGCTGCACACCGGAATCCTTCCGTAAAATTTTCCACCTTATTGAATTGCTGAGAACGTCGACGAATCGATAATTTATCATTAGCATCATTAACATTGGCCGTTACAGCTGTGATATTTTCTTCAGTTCGCACTCTACGTAAGCGTGTTGGTGGTCTATTGTCCATCAATGTGAATTTGGTTACAATAGCCGAATAGCGGCTTCAGTTGGTCGATTAATATGATCATAAAATGGAAGAAGCGCTCTATAAACTTTCTTAACACCACGCATTTTTATAGTAAAATTCAATAGTATGCAAGCGTTTTTCATTGTTAAATTAAAAACCAAACTGAAGATTTTTTACAATGAAACAAAGCACGAAACGTGCGTGAGCTGTTTAAACCAATGTTGCCAAAAACATAATTGGAAAAAAATCACCCTTTACAAACACCTGCTCGATGCCTCATCGACAAAGTTTTCCCCGGCATTGCTCAAAACTATATATGGGCAATTCTCCAGAAAGGTCTACCGCGGCCAAAAACTTAAAATTGCTTAAAAACGAGTATTTTAAACATGATTACATAAAAAATTGGTCAGGATGATCAAGACTAAGAGAATTTTTCATTTTCTATAATAGGTTTCAAAAAAAAATCGATGTCAAACACGCGCAAACGCAAAAAATGTTGTTTTTATCAAAAAAAGGCATAAAAAATGGCATGTTTTGTTTTGATGCCAATCTCTTAAACCGAAGCATTTTGCTTCGACTTTTGGTTTCTAATATGACATAAAAAACCCAAAGAGTCAATATAAAATGCAAAAGAACATATGCGATTACCAATAGTCGTACAGTTTTAATTTAAATTATCGCTTTCCAAAATGTCGCGTGCGACCGGGACTAAAATTGAATTTAAAAAATAACTACTTAATATTTTAAAATCAAACAACATACATTATTAAGAGAATTCATTGCGTAATTCATTAAAATTTATTGTACTACAATTTTTCATCACGTTTCGCTGAAATCCGAGCTTAAACTGGTTTTTTGCAAACGTAACTTCTATTTTTGTCGCGTGCGAACGCAGTACATTTTAGTGAATATCTTGAAAACAAACAAGGGTTCAAAATCGGCCTTAGCACCAATTATAGTGCTAACCAAGAGCTATTCGTTTCAATTTTTATACAATTAAAATAAAGTCTTGGCACATGTGTTTTTTAGTTTGAATGCGTACGAATGTCGCATTCGACACCAGAGAATTGCCCATATATATATATATATATATATATTTATATATATATATATATATATATAAAATCACTACTTTCAAACTAGTCTCTTAATTTTAAAGCTATCTGAATAAACTTTGGAGTTAGTCTTCTATAAAGTTTTACTCATATATATGTCGGAACGGCCCGAATTAGACGACTATATCATATAGCTGCCATAGTAACTAGAAAAAAATTTTAGATAAAAAACTTGCAGTTTGGCAGTTTTCACCATATACAAATAATTTGAGATAAAGCCATTTTGTAAAACTGTAAATTTAATAAGTATAGGTGGTAATGAAAAAAGGCAATACCTTTTTAACTTTTAACACAAATATATATCTTTTATATTTTATTAATTATTTCGAATTTATTATTATCCAATATTAATCGTCATGGGTATACAAACTTCTGCGTGTTTATAATGTTTTTTATCATCATAATGAAAATTCTAAATATCGAAGTATGTTTTAGAATATGCTAAATTCTTTCGATCGATTTCTTAATATAACTATGCTGAAAAAAAAATGTAATAACTTAATTTTTTGGCCAAGGCTGACATTTCTGTAGAAATTCTCATTTATACAGATGTTAGCTTAGGTTAAAGTGGTGAGGCAACCCCCAATTAGAGCTGTGCTTCGCTTTGCTTCACACCCTCGTAGGTTGTAGCCAACGCTCTTCAATACCAGATCATATCATTCAGGTAGCTAGGATTGCAGTCACTGAGTGTCTTCCCAAGTCCACTAGTGACCAGAGCTGGTAAGCTCCTAAGTGACGCGCCCCGATTTGGTTGAATGCCGGGCATTTGCACAGTAAATGTGCCGGTTTCTCCTGCTCTCCCGATTCCTTGCAACTTCTGCAGTGTGTTTTGCAGGATAGGCCCAACATTTGGGCGTGTCTGCCTATTGGCCAATGGCCAGTGATGGCTGCCGTTAAGCTTCATTCTTATTTTTTCTCTTGGAGATCAACTCGGCAGTTCGTCTCCTGTTACAATTATCTTCTGTGCTCTGTTTTCTTTGACCATTCCTTTCTGGCTAGTAATTTGAAATGATCATGAATTTCCATCTGGAGAGTTCTGGGAGACTAGAGTGTCTGTTGTGTAAGAGCTTTCCTCTGACCCTTATCTGGCCAGCTCGTCAGCTTCCCGTTTCCTGGGATGGCCTTATGTCCTGGTACCCAGCTATTTGTACCCTGCTATTGACCACTATTTTTTATGTAGTCCTTGCTGTTGCTAGAGATTTGATGGCCACTTGGCTATCTCAGTAGATCCTTACCTTGGTATTCTGGAGGTCTGGATTCAATGAGAGTTCGACTGCTTTCAGTACTGCGAGAACCTACGCCTCGAACACTGTCGCTGCGCTGGGAGGTGAAAGGACTCTTCTACTCTCTACTCTTCGGCTCATTTTCGAGTCGTCGGTGTGAGGGAGTGTTACCTTATCTGGGTCGGGTACACTCCATCTTCTTCATTCTTCCCTAGTTTTGTATACCGTGGTGTATGTTTGCCACATCGCAATTCGGTCATCATAAAGTGTGTGTCTTTTGTTATCCTATAGTTTATCTCATCAAGGATAACGTACAGTGTCCGGAGTTGTAGTTCTTTGCAATTCTGGCCTTCAGTATTACCGAACTTTGGGCTGCTGTGTTCCTAATAAATGTTTTCTTGGGATAATGTCTAGGATGATATTCAATGCTGCTATGCATGATTGTATTCACCCGTGGCACCTGCGCAAGGCGATCTCCGAATCCTTGTAAGTTTATGGATGTTGTAGGCCACAATACAAGTGCCCCATATGTGAGTATGGATTTTTCATGAGGAATGAGGTCAGTCTAATCGGCCTATAAGCTTTGATTTTTCCTCTTCTTCTTGGTTTGGGTATGAAAACTTCTCTTGCTTCCTTCCACGATAGTGGAATGTGTGCTAATTTTATCAATGCTTGGAAGATTGTTTATAGTCATCTACCCATGCATGTTTTTGTTGTCTGTAGCATTGCTGGTATGATTTCGTACAGACCCGGACTTTTGAACTTGTAAAAGGAGTCGATTGCCCAATGGATCCTTTCAATAGTGACAACCTCTTCCACTCATATTTTTTGGACTGCCCTTTGGCTTTCCGTTGTTTTAGATTCTTCTAGACGTTTTCCTGGCAAGTGTATCCAGCTGGATTTCTAGTGACTCTTCTGCTGTCGCAGTTTCTGTGACGTTAGGCCTGTTTATAAGTGTGGGGCTAGCTCGCCCTCTTGCTAGTATTTTTCTCAACCTAGTCGTGTCTTTTATTCCTTTTAGCAATTCGCAGTAGCTGTTCCAAGAGTGCTTCTTTGTTGCGTATAGCGCTATTTTTTTCGTAGCTTGTATTGAA